ACCCTAATTTGAGCAAGGAGGAAATGCTAGATTTTTGTTGAAAACGACCACCATTGTAGTTCATCTTTGTTTACATCATCTCCGTGGACATGAATTCGTTTAATTCATCTTCGTGTTCATCTTCGAAACCCTAATCCGATGGTGGTTTTGGGTAAGACATGAATTCAAGTTTAAGGGAGGTAGAGGATTACCTTCAGGTTGATTTTAAGCCAAAACGAAGGTAATTGATGGTGGAGGTGTTTATAAGCTCCGTTTGGGACTATTTTTGTCGCGATTTGAAAGAGCTGGACATGAGAGGTGTTTGTGGTGGTGTAGGGCAGTAGGTAGCCGCGGGAACGGGCTAGAAACGACAATGAAAAAGGTAGTGGCAATCGGTGTTTTTGGTTGCTTTTTCTCGGCAGTTTAAGCTTCCGTCGAGGGTTGTTTTGGTCTCGATTGGCAGCAGCAGCGAACATCAAGGCAGTAGGGTGTTTGGGGCTGCAATTGTTGAAGAAAGTAGGAGGAAGAGGGGTTGGACAATCGACAAGCATGTCGTCGGCTCTCTTTATTTTTCCACTGAAGTAATAACGAGAGAGAGAGAGAGAGAGAGAGAGAGAGAGAAAGAGAGAGATAGCGAGAGCGAGAGCGAGCGAGAGAGAGAGAGAGAGAGAGGTTTTATTTTATTTTTAATACTTTTTTAATTGTTGTAATAAAACAAAATTGGAAAATAAAATAATAAGGGGAAAAATCGTCAATACAAAATGTAACGCCCTGTTCCGAAATGACTCCTAGTCGGAGGCTGTGATCCGGAGGTTGGTCATCATAAGGATTATGGCTTTCGAGGAAGATATGAGTTGATAGAAGTGTAGGGCTCCTCGTCACCTTTCCATGGATATAAGGATCGTTAGAATCAGGTTTATAACGAAGAAGTTATGGCCTTTAGAAGTTTTGTGGTTTTCAGGCTTAGCCGAGTAGACGGGGCGTACACAAAGAGTACGCGGGGCGTACTAGTGAAGAAGGCAGTACGTTGGACATACCTCGGAGTACGCTGGGCGTACTAACCAGGATGGTCGCGAATGTTCTTCGGAGTACGTTGGGCGTACGCCAGTCAGATCAGAACCCTATTTTAGGGTCTTGGACCCTATTTAAGCTCCTTATCTCATAACCCAACCCTAATATCTTCAGCCTCCACCCTCTAAACCCTAGAAATTGACCCTTAGTTGTCATTTGAGTGATTTTGGAGCTTGGATGGCCATTAGAGGAGTATTTTGGTGTTTTTGAAGAAGAAGGTGTTTAGAGAAGAAGCAAGAGATTGAAGAGAGCTTGTAGATCTAGAGGTTTTACATCATTTCCAGCCTATTGAAGGTATAAAGTTCTCATCTTGGTGCTTCTACATCATAGAGCTAGGTTCTCATGGATACTGTCCCTTTTTGGTTTCAAGAATGGATATTTATGGTGCAAATCCGTTTATGGACTTAGGGTTGCCACCCATGAAGCTATTTGAGTCCCTTGAGTAGTAAATTTGCAATCTTTAAGTCCCATTTGCATCCATGCAAGATATCTAGCCATTTCCATGAAGATAGTTTCTATTTTTACAAGTTTGATCTCATTTGGTGGGGTGCAAGCCACCAAATGATCAACTTTATGGATTAAGAAGGGTTATTGGACTCAAATATGTAGTTTGGACGTAGTGTCTTAAGGGGTTAAGAGGTTTGAAGAAAATGGCTTAACAAAAGAGTACGCTGGGCGTACATGCCAATACGCGCAACGTACAAGCCATGCAAGCTGTACGCGCATCATATAGAAGAGTACGCCTAGCGTACACTTAGATTTTGTACTTTATGTTATCGGGCCTCGTTTGGGCCAATATTTGGGCTTAACTTATGTTGGGCCGTGATGGGCCACCGGGAGACGTTAAGGGCCAAGGACTAGTTTGGGCTTAGGTGGAGAGCCTATTTGAGGAGTTGGGCCCAATTTACAAAATTGGGCCATTAGAGGACTTTAATGGGCCTTAGTGAGTTTGGAAAGACTAGAAAGGATTGGGCCTCGATCATGGTCCAATTTAGATCAAAGGGGAGTCGTTGGAGCAGCTGACAGAGATCCTCGCCCGAGTTTTCAGCATCCAGTTTGAGAGGTGAGTTTTCTTTCGGTAGGAATGGGTCTAAGGCACCAATGCCATCCCGTTTAAGTAGTTATAGTATACCGGGGTGAGCCCGATGCCGGGGTTAGCCCGATACAATTTATATGTTTTCGGACCTTGGTCCGATGCAGGGGTGGTCCCGAGAAATTGTTATGTATGCTTGATGTCTTTGTGATTCATGCATGTTACTTGTTATGTGTTGTGTGTTCTAGGCTTCGGCCCGATGCCGGGCAAGCTTGATGCAGTATATCTGATTATGTTGTATGTTTATGTTATGTTGTGTATGTGCCGGGGTAATCCTGATGTCGGGGTGAGCCTAATGCCCGATGCGGCCGAATGCTGGGGTGAGCCCGATGCCTGGTGCGATCGGATGATGGGGTGAGCCCAATGCCGGACCGAGGTCCGATGTCGGGTAAGCCGATGCCGGGATTTGTACCAATGCAGTTGGGAGTAGTCCCAAAGTTATGTGATTTGTTATATATATGTGTAGGATATGTGGTAATTTGGGGGAGCTCACTAAGTTTCGTGCTTACAATTTCAGTTTTGGTTTCAGGTACTTCAACTAGCAAATGGAAGAGCTCGGAATGATCGAATGGCACACACCATAATTTTCTTAGGTTTGGAGTTTACTCTGATATTTTATATGAGATTGTGATATGTTGACAAATTTTATGAGATATTGAGATACATGGTTTATGATTTTATATTATGGTGATGATATTTATGTTTTATTTATAATTTAAAAATGAAATTTTTAGACCGTATATTTTGGATGTTTCACATAAAGACAAAATTTCAAGAATGGTCCTTGTGGTATGTCAAAACTAACATGTTTGGGTCAAAACGATTTGGGCTAGCATCAATGGTCCAAAAGTTCATTTTTTTGCAAGTTTGGTCCAATTTGGTTTGATTTTTTTTAAAGACAATTTTGCCCTTATTATTTAATTTTCCATTTTTGTTTTTATTACCAGCAATTTATAAACAAATAAAATAAACAAAAATAAATTACATCTCTCTCTTTCTCTCTCTCTGGGTTTGTTCTTCAAAACTCAAGAACACATATAGTTATAAAAAAAACACTCACTTTAACTTTTATGGCTTTGTTCTTCAAAATACACACACATATACACACTCAAGAACACATATACATGATCTATTATAAACACATACACACTCAAGAATACTCCTTAAAATCGTTCTGGAACTGAAAATCACACACAAAATATGGGTTTGTTCTTGAGTTTGTCCCTAGATATTTAAGTTTGAAGAACAAAATTTGTTTGAATCAAGGATTATATCCAAAAACACACTCACATCGATGCAATCAACTCTCCTTCTCAAATGGACCACGGGCGGATCTCAAGTCCGGTTTACCCACACAAATGGAGCAGCGAATCTACCAGCACCCCCACTACCATCGTTGTTTCTTCATCTTCGGTCATGTCTTAGCTTAAGGCTCAGGTCATGGCTTCTCGAGAAACTGAGATTGACGCCGACGACGATGACCTTGACCTCCGATTTTCTCCTCCCTCTATAAACAGGAGGCCTCTCGTTAATGCTTACATCATCGCATATAATCAACTTTACCCTTCAAAATAAGAATCGATGCATGCACCTTTCTTTCCCTTTCACACAATTTCAAAAACAAAAGTGCTTCTCCAATCGTTGTCGCCTAGAAATCACTCGCCGAAAACCCTAGCAATCAACCGCCGCCGTCATTCCGATGAACTCTAGGGTTTTAAACGGTGAGGTCTTCGGAGAATAAGAGAGATGAACTGATTGTTTTCTTGTTCGTCGGGGTGTGGTTTACAGAGGCGAAGTGGGATGATTTCCGATCTTTGGTTGAAGTTTGCTTAGGGGTTTGTTTCTTTGAGAACTCTATGGTTGAGGTGGCAGTGGCGGTTTGCTGTTAGGAGGGTGGACGCATTGGCTCGATAACCACAAGAAAGATCAAATATAAATACACACATCAATTCACACACATAAACCTAGAAAGACACGCCCTTCTGGTCTTCGTGATCTTTCGTCAATTGAATGGGTCTTCACATCTCTTTCTGATTCTCAAATGGAGTTGATTTTTCTCGATGTTTACACAAGAGAGAGGGAGAGAGAGAGAGAGAGAGAGAGAGAGAGAGAGAGAGTATTTTTTAATTTTTAAATGTTTTTTAATTGCTGGTAATAAAACAAAAATGAAAAATTAAATAATAAAGGTAAAATCATCTTTACAAAAAAGTTTAAATA